TAGTCTACTTTGATTTTGGTTAAGGTAGATTATCATTTACAGTGTAATCAGTGAGGGGATTCTGCAGACTGTTGAGGGTTCAGCCTCCTGATGAGTTGGTGAAACTCCGACGAAACAGTTTGTCACAGCCTCTCGTTTGTTGTCCTCTTCTCCCTCTCTGCCTACGGTTTACCGGGCTCTACTTCGAGTCTAGTAGGATGACACAGTCCGCTTTCGTTTTAGGGTGGAGTAGTCCGCTTTCGTTGTAGGATGGGGCTCTACTTCGAGTCTAGTAGAGAATATCTTGTGGCTTGCATCCCTGACACGTGACAGTGTGTGACAGTGTGTGACAGTGTGTGACAGTGTGTAACAGTTTGTGACAGTGTGTGACAGTGTGTGCATCATCTGCAAGATTATCAGTTGGTTGCAGGGGAAAAAAAGAACGAAAGGTTGGGGAAAGAATAAACGAGAACATTTGAGAGAAACTCAGGAAAAGGTAAGAGAGCAGCACTTGAATCTGTACCATACTCACTGATGCTGGGCCACTTCTTGACATCTTACCTTCTATGCTTAGAGCTAAGAGTCAGTTCTGTGGAGTGCAGTGCACAAGTGCAGCCGCATCATTTTCACGGAACAGATGTAGTGTGTGTGTGTGTGTGTGTGTGTGTATGTGTGTGTGTGTGTGGGAGCATGAGTTTGGGTATGTGTGCTCATGGGTGTGTGCTATGGGTGTCTCTGTGGGTGTGCGCAGGTGTGCGCAAGAGAGAGAGAGAGAGAGAGAGAGAGAGAGAGAGAGAGAGAGAGAGAGAGAGGCCACATGGTAATGGAGATGGGCCATCTGCACTCGCAATTACTGATGGCCCTATCACTATCCCTGCCTGTCTGTTTGCAGCCTTTTGGGATCCAGAAGTTTCCCATCTTTGTCTACAACAGCCAGTCTCGGGATTGAACAAGATCATACTCAAGTGAGTCCTGACCACATTGATCGTACGTACATGAAAGCCATGGTTAAAGCCTGTTGGTGGTTTTTGAGGAAGGAGAACCTGTTCTTAAGAGGAAAAGGAGTTGGGAAAGGAGAATTTGATCTCATGGATGGGGATCTGTGGTCCTTGTGTGATGCCAGAGAAGAAGTTTTCAATCTATATTTGTGGAAAGGGGTGTTTGATGTAGTCCCTGATGGTCTCCTGCTGTCATGGGTTGATGACATAGTAGCAGCTTGTTTTTTAGTACAGAAAATCTGTAAGTCACTGAAAGGAGGGACACGCTCAACTCAGACAAATTAAGATAACATGTGAGGCCTTGCTTGTGTGGAGGACACCTCTCTTTTTGATAATTTATGCCGGTGTGATTTTTCAACAATACAAGTTTGGTGTTTACGTTTCCTACCACCCAAGATTTGCTTCCAATCAAGTTTTCACGAGTGATGATTTCTGAAATTGTGTTGTGATATTGCAAATGTCAAATCTCAACAGAAGGCAGTTGCGGTCCGTGCCGTTCTTCTCAATGCCACCGACTGCTATCCGAGCCATGTGTCAGCTACGGTCTTCTTCTAGAGAATACAACGTATGGTCATTATCACTGTATGTTGGACTGAAGTTGGCCCAAGTACAGGAATAATGACCGTACAATGCGTACATTCTATTCCGGGGAAGACTGTTGTTGGGAATTTGGCACCTGGGCCTGATCTGCATCTGCATAATTAGAGTAGAATAATTGCAGAGTCAGTGCTGACGTGTCCAGTTAGTTACCTATCAACTGGGCTTAACCCAAAGCAGATTGCACCACGAGATACGCCAAATACGCAAGAGCAAAGCACTAAAGTGAATTGACAATTGAAGCCCTCTTGGCGCTCGGCGGCCCAACTACAATCAGACAGCACTTATCGACCTAAACCCGTGTACTACAACAGGTCTTCAGGATTGCAGCAGCCCGATGAGGAGGGAAGACTCCAACCAAGCGGCCTACTCATCACCGCCAGGTAAGCACCCTCACACACCGCGCACACCTCTGCCTTCGACAGTTTCTCGCCCAAGGACCACTGCCACACCTCCTCCAGCTATGGGGCAGCAGCTTGGCTATGACCGCAGTGCCACCAGCTGCGCACAGGCACCTTCTTCCTTGCACCCCGCCAGCGCCCTCTCTCACTCTGCCTGACTCTCGTCCAGCCAGCAAGCACTCCAGCCAGCCAGAATGAATGAGAATGAGAAGGCCTCACTCGCTCTCGAGGCTCGACCTCTGTCCCACTAGCTGCGGCCAGGGCCCTTCCAGAATGTGCCTGGGGGTCAACTGTAAGTGCCCTGGGCCTCAGCATCTTTGCAGGCCCAACATCTTCAACTGATCAAGCCTACTGGTTGGTTGAAGACGATCGGTTGAAGACGCTGCACTTCAACCGACCCAGAGGGCCCCATTCTGCTCACATCGGCCTCAGAGAAGGCCTCGTTGAATTTCCTGAGGGCCCACCTTCACTTAGGGCGGGCGCAGACAGTTGCAAGTGGGCGCAGGGCCCTTACTGTCCTAGGATGAGGGCCTCATGCTTTGCCATCCCTCCCTCTCCGATTTGATAGTCCTCCGAGAATTTCGTAGTCTTTCACTTTCTCTTTCCTCTTCAGCAATCTCTTGTATGCATATACAACTTGAGGTGCTGTCTTCATCAGCTCCTCTCTAGTGAACCACTGATCGTCTTTCGGATCCATATGATGCCTGAAGGCGACCCAGAACTGCATCTGCGGTTTCAGCAGTTTTCCTCTGCTAGAAGGCTTAGGAACAGGCACAAGTCTTTGTTGCATGATCTGATCGATGTCCACTTATCCATCCATGGTTGGGGGTAGCATGGACCTCCTTAAAGGAAACTCGTCAGTTTCTGCAAAAGGAAGGAGTTTGGAGGTCTGAAATATCGGATAGGTACAAAGGTCAGACAGTATGCGGATGACGTATGATGGGCCATCTAGGTCAGAACCCACTGTCTATGACATGCCATGAACCCGAAATACTGCAGCATCAACTTACTAGAGAGGTTAAGTTCCTGCGAAAATTCAGAAGATTCACCCATACCCTTTCCTCAACCTGAAACTTAGACTCTGACGGTTCATTTGTTCTGCTTGCCCGTTAGCTTCAGGATATTCCCAGTAGTCATCTGCAACAGAGAACCCATCTGCTCGGCACTCTTCTCACTAGTGAATCTAACATCTTTGTCACTCACTATTTACTTTGGTAACCTAGAATCCCTTACTAAGTGTTCCATAAACATCTTGAATACCAAGTCTGTCTTTGTTGTTTCGGGCAGCGCAACTAACCTACATCTGACTTTTCGTTAAATTTGAAATATTTTGCTCGTGTGATGGAATTGAACAAGGATTTTTTCGATGTCACTTTTGACCCTTCCACATGCTTGGGTTCCTTGAGTGAAGACCGTATACATTAGCACTATTTTATTGCCACCAAATTTGAAAAACACACATTAAAAAAAATTAAAAAAGGGTTTAAAAGGCAAAAAAATCCTTGTTCAGTTCCATCGCGCCAGCAAAATATTTCAAATTGAACGAAAAGTGAGTTCTACAGTCTTCCCCCGAATACAACACACCCTGATAATGAATGGATACAGACTATCGTTTCGTCCCGATACAGTCAAAATGAGGGTGCGTTGTGTTTGGGGAAAAACGGTAGGGTATTTGGAGAACCTGCCAACGATTACAAATATGTGTCGTTTGCATGAGTTTCTGGTCACGAGATTATCCATAAAGTCCATGGGCAAAGTCTGTCCTGGTCCAACAAAAATAGATAAAGGCTTGATAATGAAAGGGCTTCCACCATTCAAACCCCAAATTCGGATCTCCGGGTCTGATGCCCAGGTCAAGAAAAGGCCGAGTCTGTCAAACTCAGAAAAGCTCAGTATTCTAGTCTAATAGGTACCTGGCAAACAGTTACATTCCACGAGAGAAAAGGCAGATTCACAAGCAAGAGTCATGTCTCAAAAACAGGAGTCACGTTTCATAATGAAAAGTCATGCTGAAGGGTCACATTCCACGAATAAAGGACTGTTCCACAGGCAAAAGTCGTGATTCAGAGGTAGAAGTCACAGTTCACAGTCAAAAGTCGTGTCCACAAGTGAAAAGTCACGACTCAAAGGCCCAAGCAGCAGCAGACCAAAGGAAATTCGGGAAGGTTCCAGGCCTTAACATTCAGAAGCAGACAGGCCGTGGGAATGTGCTACCAGAACCTAGTCGAGATGAGAGAGAGGAAGTAGATGCTGGCAGGGAAGAAGGGAGCCATAGCTGCGCCAGCACTAGGAAGCAGTATAGTTAGTAGTGAGTAGTCGTGGAGCAGTGAGTAGTATTCAGAGTTGATCCTCATGTGTGTGTTAGTAGTAGGGAGTGCACATGTGAGAGAGGAAGAAGACTGTGTAGAGAGAGAAGACCAGAACCATCGAGTGAGAGGTAGATAAGAGAGAGAGAGTGAAACATGGTGGATACTTACCTGAGGAGCGCTGAACTTGGTGTTGATGACAAGCGCTGATGAGCGCAGATGTTGAGATTCTTGATGATTGAAGAAGACTTGTAATCTTGTTGAGCGCTGGACAGTTGAACTCGTGATTTTCTCACTATAATTTGGTTGTGATAACCTTCGTTGAGATAATTGAGCTGCGTTTTTCTGGTCTACTACTCAGCTTCTCTTTGTGCAAGTGTGTGACAAGACAATCTGTGTACATGTATATTGGTGTGAGCACTCCATCGTGTGGTGAGTCCTGGGGCTCATTACAATAAGCCCTAGAGGAGGTTGAGTCCTAGGTTTGTCCCCTTGACAATCCTGATAAGTCTCAACATACTTCTTAGCATCCTCTAGCATTGTAGGCCACCAAAACCGCTGCAGTAAGTTTGTAACCAAAGTGACGTGTCGCATCGTGCCACTCACATGAAAATAAAACTCCGCAAAGACTCGCTACTCGGGACCCACAACCTTTTATTCCCCACCTTTCCAAGGTAGAGTACCATGTTGACCATCACAAACTCGTCAAACATAGCTTTATTCAGCTCCTCAATTCTGCAGATGATCTCAGACATAAACTGGTCCTTCTTATAGATTTCCGCCAATCGTTGAGATGCACCACCTGACAAGCCATACTCAGTAACTAATACACCTAGGTAGTCTTCCCTCCGTGAAAGTGCATCAACAACCTTGTTAAACCTGCCTTTGACATGTTAAAGGTGAAAGTCGTACCTATCTACGACGTGAATCCACGTCTTCAGCCCATCAGAGTGAGTAGGTTGATTCTTGATCCATTGGAGAGTCTCATGGTCAGATCTTATTTGAAGAACCTGCCATGGAGATATTGCTTTCCATGGGTCGACACTTTATATAGGGCATAGAGTTCCCTTTCGTAGGTGGACTTAGCTATCTTTTGAGATGACATCTTGTTGCCTATGTACTTGCTAGGCGTCAACTTTTTCCCCTCGTGCTGCTATAGAATTGCCCCTATACTGTATTGACTGGCGTCAGTTGTCACTATGAAAGGTTTGTCACGGTCTGGGATTCTCAGGACTTCAGTGTCAAAGTGTACTTCAACCTTTTGAAAGCACACTCACAGTCGACAGTCCATTCCCATGGGGTGTCAAGGCGGGTAAGATGGTTGAAGGGGCTCGTGATCATACTATTGTTCTTCACAAACAGACGATCGTAACCCCTCATCCCCGATAACGATTTGACCTTAGTCACTGATGGAGGTCATGGCTAGTCCCTAATGTTAGCCACCTTCTTGTCTTCGGGCCTCAATCGCAGCTCGGAAATCTCATGATCCAAATATAAGATCTTGGTGCGACCAAACTCGCATTTCTCAAAGGTTGATCTTATACTTGTGTTTTTGGAAAGTTTTAGCATGATGTCTAAGTGTTGCTCGTGCTCCTCCATACTTCTACTAAAGGCCAGGATATCGTCGAGGTACACGACAATAAACTTGTCTAAGTAGTCGTGAACAATTCGGTTCATGGCGTGTTGGAAAATATCGGGTGCATTACATAGAACAAACGACATCACCTCAAACTCATACATTCCATAGATAGTCTAAAATGCAGTTTTGTGTTGATCCTCAAGTCTAATCTTTGTATCTGATAATACCCGGACTTCATAATCATCTTGTTGAAGTATTTACATCCCTGCAACCTATCCAAGAGGTCAACGATGCGGGGCAAAGGCTCTGTGTTCGTCACATTGATGGCGTCGAGGCCTCTATAATCATTCCTCATCCTCAGTGCCTCCCTTTCTTAGGAACGAGTAATATATGAGCCCTGTAGGGAGACATCCTCGACCGTATCCATCTCTTCTCACTAAGCTAGTTCAGTTGTTGCCGGAGACATCCTATAGATCCTGCCCCTAGACACTTTGCTACCTAGGATTGGACGACCTCCCTATCAACAACTCTTGAGGGCTCCTCGTGAAGGTCTAAGCACGTAGCAATGACTTTCTCTATATTAGGCGGGGTCTATATGCCTGGCCCTTCCGAGACACGAAGACTAGATACATACCTTCCTCGTTGCTTTGTCTATAGTAGTAGAACATATGAGTGCACAAATAACCATAAAAGTCTGCCAACTTCTTTGGTCTATACTTCATGAGAAGGATTTTCCTTCACTCAAGACATTTGTACACTATCATCTTCAAGTTCATGTTTTTCACTCACACACTAGTAGGTAGTGCACCGCTACTTCCATGGATGGTCTTTGATTCAATCTTTGGTGATCTAGCCTACTGAAGNCTTTGGTGATCTAGCCTACTGAAGTTCATGTTTTTCACTCACACACTAGTAGGTAGTGCA